CTCTTGCATATATGTGGCAAAAACAGCACCAGTGAAGTACCGTACTATTTCACTTCCGCGGAAATTACTGAACCACCATAACAAGGCGAGGAAAGACAAAAAGGCCTGAAAGCGACGACAGGCTCTCGCCGAGAACGGTTTTATCCCTCGGGAGGTGGGTACTGCAATGGCATTACCATACATATGTGCGTATGCGAAAGGGCGAACAGTACCGTACTCTTGCGCTTCCGCGGAAAGCATGGAGGACACACAAGCCGGGGCGAGGGAAACCAAAAAAAAAGATTGTACCCGGAACCATCCTGGATGCTCTCGCGTGAACTGTTCTCGTTCCGTCGCGAGGTGGCCCGTGGGTGCGTATGCGAAAGGGCTCGGAAGCAACAGCATCATCTTTTGCGTTGGACACTACAAAACCAACTTAAATGCACGCGAGGCTAGGAAAAACCAAAAAACAGGGACAAGTTTACCCAACGCAGATGCTCTCGCTGATAATGGTTTTCCTTCCATTGCGAGGGGTACATTGCTGCCGGTTGCCACCATAAGTACAGTATACGAGGAAAAAAAAGCTGCAAGCGCGTCCTCCATCCCGGATGCTCTCGAAACCCATTTGCGGTAGGTCGCAAGGTTGGTACTGTGATCCCAACACCATGTCTGCGCGAATGCGAAACAGCAGGGCTACTGTACTCCTTCACTTCCGCGGAAAGTAGAGAATTACCCTAAAAACAGGGCGAGGGAGGAAACCCACCCAAAAAAGAAAGACATGCTATGCAGGACTTCGTTAACGGCTCTCCACGGTATCCGACACCTTGAGAGAAAATCGCCCGCCACCAGTGTATAGAGTACATTAAGCGCAATAGGTCAAATGTGGTCCTCGAGCAAAAGAGGGTCTTTTAAAAATGCTCAACGGAAATAGAAAAGCGAAGGTTATCTGAGTCTGGACCCGGTTAAACCGGGTACTCTTAAAGACTACTTGTCGTTTGTTTGAATGAAATAAGGAGTGGAAATCCATACATTGGTTCATATGCGCGAAACGGCAAAAAAATGTACTCTGCCCCGGAAGTACTGACGGGGAAACCGAAAAAAGACTCGGAACGCGCAGTCGTCTGGTTCGGCTGGGCATAAGACATGCGAAACATACGCAACACCGCGGTTTATTGTATAGATTACGTTAAACGCAGTCAGTCAAGTGCTCGAACAGAACAGGTTAGCAAAAAAAAGGTTTTAATAAACCACTTGTCCATATTTCCCACGAAAGGGGATCCGACGCTGGACTATTTGAACCAGGTACCCCTTGAACCTTCTGAGCAGCTGTCCAGAACGCCGGGGCGGGGCTGATATCAAAATCTGAGGCAGGTCCTCGAGCGAAAGAGGAAGCGAAAAAAAGGCTTTCAGGACGGAAGCTGTGGGAGGTAAGGTAAAGTCGACGCTGGACCATTTGAAGCGGGTAGCCTCATTGCCCACTGGTTGTGGTTATTTGCACGAAATGAGGTGCGGAGATGTGGGAATGAGAGGGGAGGTGTTGAGGTATGTGCTACCAAAAAAAAGAAATACAGACACCTGTATTCGTCGAAAGAAGCAGTGGTGCCCTACGGATGAGGGAGCGGTGGACGACCCCGGAGATGAACACTCCACACTGTGCGGAAATACAGGACGTGTATCACCCGCACGACGAGTAAACGAAAAGTAGCATACCAAGGGAAATGGCAAAAAAAAGGCTGTTTATCGGGTGTCGTGAGCGAACGTAATCCAATCCGTGGACCATTTGAAGCGGGTACGCTCTTCGTAGTTTTTGTTTATTTGATGTGAAAATGGGAGGGGGTGTGTTGAGATACTCGTCTCGTAAACGGTGACTGCCGATAAAATCAGGAAAGACGACACAGAAATAGCGTTCGCACGCAGGAGGGTCCAAACACGAGGAAACGGAAACCGGCGCACAAATGGAAAATGTGACGATGAATTCCCGAGCACGTTACGGGTAACGGGCGTTCGGAAAATTGTGGTACCTGGACCAAGACGTTCTTTTATAGGCGGTACATTCCATTCAAAAGCACTCTTATTTTACCTCTGTTTCAATGACGGACCAAACAACAGAACCTGCCAAACCCCGCAGAAAAGCGCTAATGCCAGCGCGCCTACGAGGTTTGAAGGAGGACCATATTCCGTTCCCGCAATGCTAACGGCAAGATGGCTATGACGCCCACACAATACGCAATAACCAAATGAGAACTGGCTAACGCCCTCACGCCCCGAAAAAAATGGTCCCAATTACCGGGAGGGGGCTATGTAAGGAGAGAACCGACCCTTTATTCGTGTACTCCGGCGGTCCGCGCTGTTTTGGATATCGCATCGGGTGAATTTACTGTAGCGGTTGGGTGTGTAAATCTTCTCCATCCAACCCGAATGAAAACAGAGCGAAAAAAGGAAGGGTGTAAATGTCCATTTGGGATTTTGCCGTGAGGTACCCCGACCCCGGAACGTCCCAGTGTGCGTGCGGGTGGGCGGGCATTTTACAGTACACCAGTCCGTTGGTTGCACGCAGATGGCAGCTAGCGCCCGCTTACGCTCTTCCGACACTTCCTCGCAGTTGTGCTCCACATACTACAAAACGCGTTTCAGGAAGGACGTTTTTTTGTTCTACATGTCCTGTATCTGGCAAGACTTACATTGCCATTAAAGTAGACTACTTTCTCCTTTACGCTTGGTTGAAACCATCCGTAGGCGAGGTCTCCTCGGTCACCGAGGGTGTCCGCCGATACTGCGCAGAGCTATTTCACAGAAACGATTATTTGAATTGCAATAGAACTCCACAGATTCCAACCATGGAAAGCTTACCAGTTCCCGCAATCTGGTTGGGCTAAGAACCTGTATACTCGGGAGCTTTGGCTTGAACAGGTTTTCTATCTCTTCTATTCGGTACTGGCGTACACCTCCTCTCGTACGGCCAACAGCAACGCTCGAAAGAGAAAAAGTCTGAACAATGGGCGATTAAGGGTTTCGAGCGCTAATAAGACGGGAGGAGCTTGCGCATAGGCGCCAGAAACGTTGAAAGGCACAGTTACATGCTCCATCGTTGTTTCCACGCGGAAGTTTCGAGTGCGATAGCGGGCAGACGAGTTTTTTTCAAAGACTTGCTTGGAGGTGCAGCGGCATTTCAGGTTGCATTTAAATAGGGTAGTTTTGATGAGGCCTTTGAGTGCTTTGGCGGCTTTGGGTGAGGTAGTTCTAGGTCTTGCGACCTTTGAAATGAACGCGTCCGGCCGGGGTGGCTGGTACCGGCTACGTAATATATAGCGACTAGAAGAAGCTTGGTCGTCTCGTTAGTTCTGTGCAGTCTTGCTGTCATTAATGTACTTACGTCCTTACGGACGGCATCAGGGCATGTTACGCGTGTAAGTTTTGTAAGTAGATAGTCGTAATAAGAGAATCCTTCAAAAAAAGGAGAGGAACCCGACGACCTCCTTCCAAGCCACCGTCGGCTCATGGCACCCACCGCCGCCGGCTGCGTATTATCATCATCGACCGTGGCCACCCGATGAAAACAGAAGTGCACAACCACGCAAATAATGCTTGGCTGCAGAGGCTGAGCGAAGGATAACAGCGCTTGACAAGAAAATGAAGAAGAAAAAAGAAAGGAACGTGGCAGGGCGCTGAACGCAACCGATCACATAAAAACAGCCAATGTGCTTTCTCGTCCTCCCTCTACTGTCGTCGTCGTTGTGAAAAAAATCCATTCGCTGCCAAACCAAACCCCTCGAGACGAGAAACATGATTGGAGCATACGGAACCATCCTCACCGCCGCCGCCCTAGTCCTGACGTTCATCGCCTGTACCGCCGCGCAAACCGGCGGCGGACCCATCACTCCCTGGTCACCCTGCAACCCCTCTCGTGGCGACCAATTCGCATGCTCTGGAACGCAGTTTCTCCAATGCTGGAACGGCCAGTGGGCGGTTCAAAACGTTTGTAACGGCCCTTGTACTGCGTCGCCGAGCCATGCATCGTTTTGTGGGATGAATTCTGGTAGAAGCGCGGGTGGACCTAGCGGTGGCAATGAAGGCGGCATCGGTGGGAGTGGTAGAAACGGCGCTGGTGGCAATACGAGTGCGCCAGTTCGACCCATGCCAGGCGGCACCTGCAACCCGCAACGGGGGGATCAGTATGGGTGCGCGGATGACTTGTTTCTTGTGTGTGGCCAAGATGGTGAGTGCCGTGTCGTCGCAACGTCTTTTAACCGATTCTTTGCATGCATGTGGGACGGTCTTGTTCACACTTTTCCTTCCAAATAGGTCGTTGGGCAGTGCAAAATCGCTGTCCGTCAACGTGCACCCAACACCCTTCTTTCCGCCCTTTCTGCGGCGCAAACTCGTGGCGGGGTTGAGGGTGGTGGTGTAGGGATCGCTCGTAGGATCGTTTACATGGAGGAGGGTGTTTAGCCGCATCAAAATATAGGGATCCCTAAAATATATCATCTGTGGATTCCCCTATTCCCTGCATGAACCCCTAAAGCGCTTTGGTTATGTGAGGTTTGCCGGCGACATGTCGGATACCGGCCACTAGGGAGCGCGCTATGAATGCGTGCGAGAACCGCTCCTACATTACGACTCATGATTTAATTCTGAAGTTGACCCTGAAATCAATCTATGGTAACCCCAACGCTTTACCTCGCAGTCGACATTGGCCTAGAACGTCCGTATCATACTCAACGCCAACATCAAACTTCATAGCAACACCAGCATTGTATCACGAGCAACGTCAGAAGCCAAGTTTAACCGCATCAAGCGAACTCGAATGGCTCACGCAAGGCCGTATATATTCTCTCCCTTGTTAATGTTGTTCGGTTTCAACACTGGCAGAAGCGTTCCAAAACACCACCTCGCTATACTGCACATCATGCATCCTGGCAAATGATGCGTTTCCAAAAGAAAAAGCGGGATGCATCTGGCATCATTAGCACTATTGATCAAGTAACCAAAATCAAAAAGAAAAACATCATGTCGGAAATAAGCGAGCAAGCCAGGGGTCGAACCTGGGATCTTCCGTTCCGGAGACGGATGCGATGTCCACTTCGCCACATGCCCCGGGAAGTTGTAGCTGTAGGGTTTGCACCCCTACTTATATTGTTACCGCAATGAGGCCAGATGGATACAGGCTAACCGGTGGTGATTGCCCGGAATGTGAGATGTGCCGTATATTTCCTATGCTAGAGCATGCAGCCATAATGCCCTTGCCGGTGGGTTTTTGGAGATGTTTGCAAAGGGGCAGAAACCAAACTGAAATTGAGTCAAAGAACGGTAAGAAACGATGTCGGCTGGAAAGCACCGCAGTGGTGCTGGATTCCAAATTTTGTGCGTCAATTGAAGGTCAATTTGCGGCCACATGAAAAGGAAATACAGCGGTACTTGCATAGTGAACATAAATGTTATCTATGGCAGTGCGTTTTCATAATGTCCAGAGTACCCTTACGCGGCACGTTTTTTTGTTTTGAAGCGGGGAAATCAGGACTTGGGGGAAAGCGCGCATCTGGGGTGGAACAAATGTTTGGCGTAACTTTCCTTTCGCCTTGAGCACCTCCGCGGATGGGACGCGCGGCGAATCATGCCCGAGAGGGGACGCTGTTGCAGGATGCCCGCACCGAGAAAATTACGGCGACGACCTTAGATATTGACCAACGCCGGCTAGCGAACCCCGTGCGCTCAAAGATCCTGCATCGTGTTCTCAAAGATCCGCATCAAAAATATGTTGAGAATACGCCGTTGACACAGCGACCATTGGCGCAAACCGCACTCGTGAAAAAGTCACGCATCGTACACCCCATCTGCGGGGGCGGCCCAAAGCTTTTGGCGCACCTCAACTGCGTACCGCAGTCCGCTCCACATCCATCCGACTGCAAACGCTACCAAACAACCATTCAGTATTCGATAATTCTGCAAAACACGATGCGTAGCGCGTTATCAGCGACGCCTTCGATGTCATCATCTGTCATCCCTATTTATCTTTTTTATGTCTGGCTTTTTTACTTCGTAATGCGATCACTTAGCGGTGCCGGGATGTGATCCCGCTTACACCGATGCAAGGAAAGCACTCGCATGGCAAAATGTGGTGATGCTGGTGATGCGGAGACACGCCTACCAAAAACGAAGGGCATCAGCGCCTGTTTCGGTGTACCCCGCTTTTTTGCGCGGCCGCGCTCGTTGTTTCATGCGCCAGCGACGGCAACTCTGGGAAAGGCAGTGATTGCGCATCCGGTAGTCAAGGATTCATGATGTTACAATTGGATGGGGCTCGGCTCCCTACGCCGAATGTCCATGTTTCAAACCATGGTAATGAGGATAATCAAACGTTGTGCCAGATGCATTTTTGTCCTGTATTTGTCTGGTACGTTGGGACGCCTGGGAGCATGCGAGGCACGAGGCTGATTAAAACAAAAAAAGCGTTTCGCAAAATACCAGCACGATGGTACCCTCCCCATCTATTGAATGGCATACGAGGTACACGAACCTTTATTGCACGGTTGGATGAAAGCGCAGTCTTCAAATGTGGGCAAGGCCCAAAGCATTTCAATTCGCGTGCTTGACGCCGCCCTGGGAGTGCAAACATGAACACTAAAAAAAGTCTAAGCTACCCGTCAGGTCTCGAGAGGATGGAGTTTCGTCTTCAAGACATCTCAATTGAACGTTGCGCATCAACCTTCAAGTGCATTCCACATTTACCAACCGACCTGGAAGGTATATTTTTGCGAGCGGTGGAAACCGGGAAAGAACTTCCAGAAGCCGGAGAGACCTCTTTGTGGGTGGTGGGCCAATGGCTTTTGTATTGGCGCGAGGCCGGTTTGTACCGCTCCCCACTCCAACTGCGCGCGCACCTGAACCGTAAGCTGCGCGGGCGCAACTGAACTTGGGAGCCCCAGGTTGAACAGAAACCGCACATTTCAGCCTCCCACATAAATGCAGTCTTCGCCACGCCAATCGCAAAGGTCACGTTCGAGCGATGTCTTGGCTGTAGCCTCCTAGCTAGCTGATCATTTTTTCCACTTGCATACTTCCACTTGCATACTTCGCGAAGTATAGAACCTGTTGGGCGGGGGTATCCACATACCGTTCGAGTTACGAGAAATCCGTCATTGTCGAAACAGAGGGTGCGTTGAGGACAGCGTCTCCATTCTTCCCAATTTCACGTCGTCCGGTAGCTTTTTTTTTGATCCTGCGATGGGGTAGGAAAGGAAGTAGCGCGTACTTTACCACCTCACCCATGAGTAGTGTGATGTAAACAAAACCGACCAAATTGGTGTTGCCTTCTGAATGTGGTTGTACGGCGTTGCATTCCCGGCCGTCTACCACGGGAACTATGCTTTTTTTGCTCGCCCTATAGAACGTTCGTCTGGTTTTTTTTCGGTCATGCTCATCCCGCAAATCCGTTGATCATGGGCGGGCGATGGCTCGAGAGTCGCCCAGAAAAACCAAAAAAAGAGACCTCGGAAGACGTGCCACGGTACCTGCGGACGGGGATGGTCAAATGGTACCTGCATCACACACCACACTTGGTGGATCCCAATGCGCAGCTACGCACTACGGTTGTTGGAAGCCAATGCAAAGCAATTTATATTTACTTCAGCCGGTGGTACTGTAGTGCCCGTTCATCCCGCCGCATTTGCCCGTGGCCGTATGGACGGACGCGAGGGACCAACCGACCTGCGCATGCTACTCTTCGTTTCGGTCGGAAGTATTAAGTTGGCGGCGCATTGGTTGATAAGGTCATACGCTTCCTGCGGAGTGCCAAGTGCCAAAAAAAACAGAATACGCGATGTGCAAATCGCCGCAGAAGGAGTCAATCCCATCAGCCGAAAACATGCGCGCAGTTGTTCTATATTGATTGTCTTCCTACACCTATTCGTTCTGGTACTCCAACATGGTAGGTAAAACATGAGCCCGTACGTTCCGGTCTGTACCATGAGAATTATATGAAAACGACCTGATCAAATCAGTACGATGGCTGGATGATTGACTTGTCGCGCCGGATATCGTTGCGCGACGGGAATTGCGTTTCTTTAAGATGGGCTTTTTTGTTCCCATTGATTTGGTTGATCGGCTGGCTATCGCTGGCTGTGATACCACTGGAGTTGGCGCGAAAATAAAAAAAAGAATTTGGGTGCGTCGTCGTCCGCCAGATGGTGTGAGTGATGGTACCCCCATCTCTCTCATCACTCCACTCCCCGCTCCAGCACGAGAGCTTTACTCGACTTTTACGCATGATTCTTGAATAATGAACCCTGCGGAAGGAATGAATTCCATTAGCCGAAAAACTGGCGCACACAGTTGCCCTACCTGTGCTCTGTTTTCAATGTCAAAGTGCACCAGAAGGTTGCCCGACCGATGGTGTAGTCCCACTTCCCCCTCACAACTCGTTGACGTGCGTTTTGGAAAATACATATGTACATGGTATTGATGCTGAACAAAAGGGCTCCACGCATAATTTCGGATTTCACAGAGTTGACGAAGATGCCTTCGATACTTCAGCCGTTGATTTGAGTTTTGCATTGCATGACGTGCTATGGGAGGTTTGGTGATGGCAGTGGCCGTCGGGGATGAGAGTGAAATACAAAAAACGGTTCGTCCGAGACGCCCTCCACAGATTCACCGTCCCCTGCACTGCCAGGGCGAAAATCCATTCCGAAGTACGTGATACCTACATCGTCCACATTACGTTGTAGAGACAATGCGGTGGAGGATGCATGTATACGGCCAAAGAAACCTTGTGCGCTAGCAGCACGATGTATTCACAGGAGCGGGGCTACAGACGTGGCAAGATACATCACCCCTGCGTTTCAGACCGCGGTTATCATCTTGTGCGGGGTTCCCGATTTCAAATAGTATGGGACGTAACCTTTGGAAGCGGAAACATGTTTAACGATGCCAAAAAAATGGCAAACAAGTTGACAAAGGCATCCATAGTAGTGCAGCCGTGCGTAACCGTACTACTGCTCTCGTCCACCCTTTTCGTCCGCCCTCGTGTCCCCAAACAAAGTAGCGCTGACTAGTACTGTACAGGCGAAGCGGTTCGAGGAACGCACTATTTGGGGCAAAAAAAACGTCCGTAGAGCAAGCAGTTGCGATGAGGGGGCACACCGGTGTTACGGTACCACCTTACCCGTGGGCTACTTACCCTCTCGCTGCCCCGTGTTTGATTTCAAGTAGCAGGATACACGGAAGTGGGAAACTGATTTACCTAACAATGCCAAAAAAAGGAACATCTGAGCAACGGACTATAATAGTGCAGCCGCGTGTAACTGTACTACTGCTCTTGTTCGCTCTTGGACGAAAAGTGCCCGAGAACTTTACTACTGCTCGCGTTCGTTCGAGTGCACTTCTACTGCTCTCGTTCGCTCTCAGACGAGAAGTGCACTCGAATGAACTAGCGCGCGACCTCATACAGCGCGACAACCCTAACCAGCAACATAGTCAAGACAGTGCACAGACTTGTACATAAACACCATCATTGTAAACATGTATCATTCCCATAATGTGAATTGTACGCTGGACTTGCCTGGGTTTCGGCAGCCAATTTAATCCCTTCTCGCCCGGTTTTGGGCATTCGCCGAACGGCGCAAAATACACAATGGTGCGTTTAATGATTGCGGAAAAAAAATGGACATCAACCCGATTACTGACATCATCATAGCCCGGCCTTGTAGCAAACCCGTATGAATACAGTCGGTCGCCCTCCACAAACCGTACCGCACAGCACAAATACTTTCGGTTGGCCGATGATAAGAGGTGTGATTCAACTTATTGTGGCAGAATGGTGCAATCCTGGGTGAAGCCAGCAGGTGAACGAGCACCATGCGCGATGTTAGTGCCGGACTGGACTAGGTTTCGGCAGACATGCTTTCCTAGGTTTTGGCTGGTATTTTTTTTATTCCCGCCCGGTTTTGGCCATTGATTGAAAGACTCGCTGCGCAACCTGGTCAGACCTAAACAGTGCGCAGCTTCGTACGTAAACACCAGCACATAAGCATGTGTCCATTCCCATAACGTTATGTTAATGCGGGAGTTGACTAGGTTTCGGCAGACATTCAACGATA